CCTAAAGTTTGATTGCAGTCTTGAGATTTATATTACGATTTTGGTTTATTTCAGTTTATTCTTCCGCAATGCAGAATTTTTGATGAACAGATCCTACAAATGATTACTTTTCAGCACAATTGATCCTGCAACCATGATAACATCATAATTCTGTAACACGCACTAACTCTTCGGCATTTATAGAGTAAGGACCTTTCAGCCGATCTCACTTTTATCGTTTCGATAAACTGATTGCAGAAACTGACCCTTTTTATCACAATTTGATCTTCCGTATGAATTTTTTCCAGTCGTATCTTGAAAGGAAACCTATCTTATGTTTAATTAAGATTAGTTTATAAGTCACAGCATTGAATTATACCTTACGGTAAATTTATATCACATTTATGTAATTACTGTACGATTGCCGTATTGTAAACTGAAATTGCTTCATTTATTAAACAATATGAACGCGTTATAAAGGCAGGACTATCTGTGAATCTAAAATTAATAATTATCTAACTTCCATTGCCTGTCATAAGATATATAGGTAAACTGAAAACTACAGTCTACACCTAAAAATTATGATAGACTTTTCATAAAACGGTAATAATCTTGGTGGTCTTTATATGTACCTGCACATATCAGACAAAGCTAGCAGATAACAGACATACTGCATACACAGAGAATACGCAGACGGTGTTAACTGACCAATCTACTCCATAGTATTTTTAAATCTATTCAACCTATAAAATAAATATAGACATTTTATTTAATATATTTTTTAAGCATAAACCCTTCTTTCTGGATTAGCTATGTTTCACTCTTTCAATTCATGTCGAGAGACATGGTTGCATATCCTTCAAGCTGATGATGAGCTTTAAGCTTGAAATCCGGACGTTGTAAACAACAAACTGTGAGATAGATTCAATTTTTGAAAAAAAAAATTAAAGAACATACCCCACCTTTATCCTGTCTAATGTATGTTAGTGTTTCACGTAACCTAAAAGAAACTACCACAATGGGTTTAAGTAATGTGAACTAAATACCAAAAGCTAAACAAAAATTCATTATTAAAAACAATTGTGAAGCCCTCCTTTTTTAGCACTGCCAAACGTTTTTCTGAATCAACTTTTCATGATTATCATCACTTCGTATAGACTTGTATGAACTTTAATAAAGTAATAGTACTGGCAAAGACAAAATTAAATATGTGCGACTATTAAAACAATGTACATAAATTTGTTGAAGTCGTGAGGAGCGATCAAGAATGAGGTAGTTCAGAAAAACCCTTTTGAAATAACTCATTCTTGACCGCTCCTCACGACTTCAACAAATTACGAAACAACAGGTCACAAGAACACACATTTCTACCAGAGAGAATGCATATAAAATAAAAAAATTATTGTTGATATATGAGATGAGGGTAATATTTTGCTAAGTTCCCTTCTCAGCATGTACTGATGGAAAAGGCAACCGCTGACTCCGCTATACCCTTGCCTTTTAGGAAATAATCCCCCCTTGATAAACAGGGACTAGTGGTGACTTTGCTGAACACCTTCTGAAAACGGGTCAAAGGCAAGTTAGGCCTCCATCAAAGAAAGTCTTAACGCTGTGCTGAACTTCACCGAGCTGTTTATAGACCGTTTTGATCGCTGATGAACAATTAACTTGAAGGAAATCAAAGAAGAACATAATTTAATTTAACCTCTTAACCTGAAGCCTTCAAGATTCATTCGCAGTGTCAGGATTAAGTGAAAAGCGCTGGCAGTTTTTAGAAAATTTGTAAACTATTGTCTATTTAAATTTTTTTTAAATTTTACTGAAATGTTAATCATATTCAGATTTAAAGACCTACTCATTAAAGACCTTTAATTTATAATTGTATTGAAGCAAAGCTTAGTTCGAGTAACTTGCTACTTTAGCGATCCTCTCTAATTCTAAGCTTAAAATAGAGATGCCAACGTTGAATGTATTATGAACTGAATTTGTAGAATGGATTACTAATCTGGACTACGGACGGATTTAAAATTAATTGATAAACTTGGGGAAAATATTAAACTCTCTAATCCTTGTGAAAAGTACATTCATCTAAGCAGAAATAAATTCGACCAAGAAAGATTTCAACAAAGCCCTAAATTTCTAATATTAATTTAATTTTGAGATTTTTTTTCTTGTTGTCTGCTGGGGGATGAACAATAGTTTTGTTTATTTCCGAACAAGTTTCCTCTTTCTCGCTGTTTTGGTCTGTCAGGGCTATTAGATACTGCCTAACAAAGGATTTGGGATTTATATGATACCGAGTCGTTTCCATCGATATGTGCGTAGAATGAAAACCGTGAATATACTTTGCGTAGCGCATATTAGGACAAAGATGGTTTCAGAAAGGGTAAAAATGTCGATCGTGTATACTGCGTAGAGGATAGGTTCAATGATGGGAATTTCCTTGGAGTGCCCTTGAAGGTGTACTATAGCCACTGACATAAACCGGAGAAATTCGCTCAACAGTGGTAGCGATAATAAATAAAACGGGATGGCGTTCATGAATGAGAGCGAGACCATCATAGCCTCTTAGTTTTGCCGCAGGAGATGGGAAGAATAATAATGAGTTTTGTAGGATTTTGCCCATTGTAGACAAGTTATTGGTTTTTTGGGTTTTAGTGTCATCCGGATTAAACAAAGGTTGTCTTTGGGATGGGAAGTGTGTGGTTCTAAAGAATTTTAAATTTAGGTTCGGACAACAAAAACTTTTTAAGGTAGGGTTATTGTGTTACAGCTTCCTTACTGCGGCTGCACGTACGTTGGCGGTAGCTCAGTGGAGAAGGGGGGGAACGTGTTGAAGGGAGAGACAAGTGATGGTCGGTGATGAGGTGGAAGTTTTTTTATAAGTGTTGAGCGCCACGGTATTTTTGAGTAAGGATGAATACTGAAACCAGGGGATAAAAGGAAAAGAAAAGTAGGACGATCGGAAGAAGGGGGAAAAAAGAAGGGTAGCGATGCAGCGCTTCTGGCGCTCTTCTTCCTGATGGCGCTTCCAACCAGGATGCTGGGAGCTAAATTATGAAGTTCTTCCTGCTTCTTAATTCGTTAACACAAGAAGATTTGTTAGGGTATTTAGCCTACTTAGGGTTTAGACTACGATATAAAAAAATAACAAAAAAAACTACGATGATACTAATAACACTATTCTATTTATAATTCATTGACAAAAATTGTTGTTTTTAAATTAAAACTATCGAAAGGCCGAAACTTATAATTAACGTCTCTAGTCCCGAATTATCAGGCCTGATGAATTGTATCAACTCACGGGATCACTCCTCACTTGCCGGGATCAGCCAGTTCCTCTTCGTAACAACTCTTCGATCGGTTCACAAACAACACACACATTGACTTTTTTGAAAAACAATATTCTCTTTTGCTCGCGGAGACAACCTCTTCCTCGGAACGTCTATCCCCAACTGATCCTCCTTGCTTTTTTTTCGTTTCTTTTTTTCCAATCTCTGACCCAGTGCCATCCCGATCAGAATCTTGCAGGCCGCGAATTGCTTCCTGCTTCTCGGGCTTCTCTTCTCGGTTCGTCCCGCCACTTTTAAGCTTTATTAATTTTTTTTGAAGAAGGAAAAAAAATGTAATAATTGTCGAGGGATTTTTGCCGTGATGAGGTCGAAACAGGAGGGTTATTTAATAACAGATACATGTGAAAAACGACTAAATTACGGGTTCATCACTAACGATAAAATTTCACAATTTTTTCTAATGTAATAGAAAAGTTCATTTAAAAAATTGCGTTGCAAAATGAAACCTTAGAAAGAAGGGTAGATTTATGATGGAATTGACTGAAGTACGGACCACTATTTTCGTGTATGAAGCTGTAAATTAAACGTTTTTAGATGCCACATTGCGGGTTATCGGGACGGCAATGTGTAGAAAATGCTCGAGCAGTAGGGCTAGGGTGGATCGAGAGGTTGCTTTGACACTTTTGATTTTGGGTGTGTTGACAAAAGAAAGTTGAGGTCGTCGTGGATAGTGAGGTTAGTGACATAGTAAAGAAATTTGACGATTTTGTTGGAGGGCTTTTGATTGTAAGGATCAGATGTGCTGGATGTTAGACGCCTCGAGGGAACCTCACAGTTCCCCTCTGTATGTGATAGTCGAAATGAGACCAGTACAGTCTTATGTAAGGATTGTTTGGTGTTGACGGTCAAGACGGATTTCGGTGCTACAAGTTATCGCTTTGCTGCTGACGCATAGTGCAGGGATAGATTGTTTTTTCAACGTGAACGTACATGGAGAACACTTTTTCATTCAGTCTGGTCCTCCACTTTTTGCGCCCGTCTTCGATAAGCTGAAGGTGTTCTTAGATGCTGGAGGTAGCTTGGAACCATATTTAGAGGGCAAGGTTGAGATATCGTCCGTGTAGGTAGTGATGATGGTATTGGGGTGTGAATGTAGATCTGCTACAGATGATATAAAGGATGGGACCAATGCCCCCTTGTGGGACGCCGACTTGTGTATACCAACTGGGTTAAAATTATTTTTAAAAATTTAGCATCAAGAAATATATCTTCTATAATGAAAACATCTATAACGATCAACAGGAAAATATCCGTACTGTCATATAGATCCATATGAAGCTTCTCGTAATGTTAAGTTAATGGAGGCGTCCACTTATTTTAAAAGTTTTGTTCTAATCCTCTCATTTGTTTTTACATTTAAAATGAATGAATTCATGGTTCATTGTTATTATTTTCTTTACAACGAGCACGTAATAATTTTTTCCTCTTGGTTATTCCTGAAAACTGATTTTGTACTAAAAATATCAAGTTACCCCCATGTATTAACAAGAACATGCAAAATGTATTTATTTATAAAGCAAATCACACTGTGTTGCCCATAGCTTAGCCCTTCAATTTAGTAATCTTGAGAATAATATTCGAGAGCCAAAAAATACGGAAAAATTAATTATAATAAAATAAAGCCAAAGGTAATTAATTATAGACCTATTGTAGTGAAAATCGTTTTACCTCTTTCCGGAACTGGCTCGGATGTCCTGGGACCGAGGACGAGATCTGCTGCTTTTGAATACTGGGTAGCGACAAGTGCCGTACACCTGATGTTTAATTGGCCATTTGTACCCATGTGTGCCGGTTCGATCCTCACCTGCAGGTTAAGAACAGAGTACTGGAGGCCGTTGCCTGAGTTGTAGTACCGCGTGGTGGTTTGACTGACCTAAAATAAAACCAAAAATGTTAAAATAACAATTGATTTTTTTTATTGCAACTTGTAATCAGATGATATATATTTCCAATTATTCAGATATTTCATTTGCATCGAAAGAACAAATAATCTAAATTATTTAACCATTTTACTTCCCTTAAATAAGTTCTATAACTATTCGTCATAATGGTTTAAACGCCTTATAGGAATGTTGGAACAGATTCTGATAAAAAGATTTAGACAAGCTTATTTGGCTGATGAGAAAGTTTATTGTGAAAAATTATATATTTTTGAGGAATTGATGTTTGAATAAACGGGATTCTAATGCCACATTGGTACTTAATACTATGTAGTTAGGGTAGTATGGGCAAAATAATTTTTCTGAGGACTATAAATTGAAAGGTATTGGTGACATTTGATAGTGAAAGTTAAGCGTTCCTACATTGAACGTCCAAATACGTCTTGTATCGTCTTTTGATGGTAAGTTTGTTTTAACATCTACTTAAAAATAATTGGATTGCGTTCTCATTAGTTTTTTGAGATTTCATATTAAGCGTGAATGGAGGTTGAACCCAAGGTAAGAAACGCAGTCAAATTTAAGCATTAGAACATTGTTTTAGTAAATTGTAAGAGGAGTTTGCTTCAGAGGGTAAATTTGACATAGACATAAATAATTACATTAATTGTTCTATAAAGATGATATGTTTCGGCAGCTCTTCCTGAAGCAACTATGGGATCTGGGTCATAAAATACCCTGCCGATCGTCAGCAATGGATGCAAGAAAAGTAGTAAGTGGTTTTGAGAAATCTGAAGTATAAATTGAGGATGGTGGAGGAATGGTCCAAGCACACTTCCCTACGTTACTTCCACGGCCAGAGTAGTAGTCACTAGTAATTTGATCCTTATTGGACCACAAATGTTGATTAATTAGTTAAATTGTGAAAGTTTCCCTTGGTGACTGCGGGGCCATGAACCAGTAGTTTGGTTTGACCATCCTTGAGGACATTTGAGACTACCTGAATAAGCTTGGAATTTGGTAAAAGCTTTCTAAGGAATATATTACAATTAATTAAGGTTGTTAGTTGAGATAAAAAAGTCAATGGCACGAGCGGGATTCGAACCCACGATCTTCGGCTAGATCTCAACTAAAAACCTTAGTTAATTGTAATATATTAATTGGTCAAGCGGACCACGGAATTAGTGAACTTTCTAAGGAAGCTAATTTTTATTAACCTTAATTACTGTATTATTAAGCATAGCGAGGAACTGTAGACACTAACCGAAATACGCGATAGACCAATACTATCGAGGTATGTAGGTCGTAAAGAGGCCGAATCTTTTTTCTAATCTGATCTTATCTTGTCGTACCAGAACTAATATTTATTAAATTAAATTGCACATTATTTTCATACTGTCCACGGAGACCAGGAACCTGTAATTTTGAATGATCATGCTCGATGTTTGGGTTCATCAGACGGGTTTCGGATTCTTGCTATTTTCAGTTGTAGCCTGTGTATTTAATGTTCAGGACCGACTGAAACAGCAAGGATGACAGACCAAAATGATCGGAAACGACGAAAATACAGAATAAGTTAGCAAGGTTCAATTTTTGATAAATAGCTTTCATTATTCGAATGATTGAAAAGTAACCTTGTTTTGGGGATGGTTAGGGATGGTTAGGGCTTGGCTGAGTCATACTTTTATTGTAAAAATACAAATGGAATCTTTTTAGAACTGTCAGCGTTTTTCCTTCCCCAAGTGAAGTGATATTGCGCTCATCCTTACCTCTACGCGGATACTGAGAGTACTTTTGGATTCACGTTCACATAACCAGAGTGCTGTTCAATTCATTATTTCTAGCACTAGTGAGATTGGGAAATTTGGAAATGGCAACGCCGTAGTTTTAAGCACCCCACTGCTTCATTGATTGAACTACAGTCTAAAAGTGAAGAGACTAGCTTGATGGCTCTCATTACATCACCGGGAGCCGATATCACCTCAGCGTCCTGAAGGGTTAAGAAATTGTTTCATCCTATTGGATTGCATAGGAACCACTCAACTTTTAGTGACAGCCAATCTTGTTTAAGTTTTGAAACTATTTAAAAGAAAAGAAAAATATTGATACAAGGCAACGTATAGGCGGAATAAATTCCTAAAGCACGATAATTAAAACGTTGTTCAACACAACATAAACTTTGTATTTTAGTGGTTATTAAAACACACACATACTTTAATGCTGAGTTAGGAAGTATTTACTTCAAATAACATTGATATACATTAACCAATAATTAATGTAAGTCATTTATATTTTGTATCATGCATGTTGTCAATTGATAATTGAAGTTTTGCAATGCAACAAAAAGCATGTCGTCTATTTGTGCAATATCTACTACAGAAAGGATCCTGTTGTATGTATGATGCCATATGTTTTAATAAAGGGAAAACTGTCTGGTCTTATTGCCCAATCCTTAAATTTTATGGCTTAATGAACAAATATGTGAAAATTATATGTCTTTTTTATTTCTAAAAAACAGTAAGAATAAGAAGTATGAGAATTCACTATGCAATTGCAACATACAAGTTACGATTATATGGAAAACAATAATAATCCCAACGTAAGCAAAAGTTTTCAACAACGTTCATGTGCTCTTTTTCAGCCTTCTGGAGCCTCTTACAACCAAAATGTTCTTTCATTGAATGTTTTGACCCAGCAAAGCTGTTAGTTTATGATTACTGTTATTGTCGAAACTTTTAAATTATATTTTACAGACGCGCGCGAATAGGTAAATAGAGTTGGAAAAAACTTTTCAAAATAATTTATTAATTGCAGCTCTAAAGATCATAAAATTTTTGTATGTTAACTCTTTATGTATAGGAAAGTAGGTAGCATTAAATGTTTTATTGGAACTTTTTTAAAATTTATTGTGGACAATACCTTGCGTACCGACAATTTGAACTTATACAATCCTCTTTATCAGAAGACATAGTATATCCAAACCGTCTGGATCAGATCAATTTCCATTTTCCGTTTCAATGTGCAGGGCCACTATCACATTCTCTTCAATTTAAATTGTTAAGTAATTATAATCTTTGTAAATAGTCTTAGATTTCTTTTTTTAAGAAAATTGTCCTAGTTTTAAATAAATAAATATGAAACCCTGCATCCTTTATTAACATTTTATCTCGTTAATGAGATTTTTATTTTCTTTGGATTCCCGACCGTCAAGAATGGACAGACGTACAAACCACTTCTTTCGAACAGTTATTATAATTTCCGACTTAGTGCTATGACATAAAATTAACCACATGGTTTTTCTACTAAAAAAAGTTTTGCAATATAGATACCACAACAAAGTCCAGCGAAGTATATCAACCACGAGGATTTTTTTACGATCCCACCTCGCCTCAATCTGTTAGGGAAAGTCGCGTGATTTGACATTAGATCGTAACTCATCCGGTATGAGTTATTGATTATGATGAGGTGGGTCGTATTTCCTCAGGAGACAAAAGGGGAGAGGATCGGGCTGAGAGAAGCGGTCGCCTCGGATAAAGTTCTAATGAACTTCCCTGTAAAGTCCCCTCCAGTTCTCGTCTTTATTACAGTTTTTGCCGCCGCGATATTGCCAGAAAGGATATGGCTGGAGGACCCTTGCGCCCCCTTTATTACCTGACCAAGGTCACCGTTTCACCAAGCATACTCATCATTTCCATCCTGAATTTTCCTTTAAAAATTATAACCTATAATTGATTTTAAAAAATTGAAAAAATAGAAATTTAATCAATTCAAAAATTTCTTACTACTAGAAAATTCAAGAATAACAAAAATCTGTAATAGTTTAACAGGACGCAAGACTCCTTATAATTATTAGTATAATTTAACTGGTACATTATTTTTTTCTTTAAAAATAAGATGTAGCTTCAAACTTTGAAGAGTTTGGTACACATGGAATCCCACTCTGTTTGCCGGAAAGCAAAGAACAAGAAAAATATCAAAAGAAGAATGAAAAATACCGCAAAATATTTTTTATGTTGCAAGGAAAGGCAATAAGCAGTATTTTCAGATTCAAAAATTATTACCTACGGTAAATTGCATTTATATAATTAATTTACTACTGGAGGGGATTAGTAAGACAACTTTGGAAACCAAACTTGTTATTTAATCTTGAATATTAAATAATTTAAGCTAGTTATTTACGAGTGTTGATTTATAATTTTGCCATTACTGTGTTTAAAGCGCGTCGTAAAGAGCTTAGTATTACTTACACTTAGTATTTTTGTCTTGAACGCATATAAGATTGAAGGTTTTATGCATCGTTCCTTAGCAATATTGCACGATCAATATTAGTTTATTTGGGTGTTGCACTGTTTGTAGGAAAATAAGTGTTAAAACAGACGAAAAAGAAGACAGAAGAATTATAGACTTAGATCACTTTTAACAAAGATCTTGTTTTTCCTACCAAACCTCCGCTCAGATTATGTAAATATCAATGTTATACAGAAAGCATTAAACATGTTCATGAGGCGATATGAGACTTGTGATTCAGCACGGCATTAAGTGCACAGTACTAATTGTTTTGGGCATATTTGGATGTGTGTGTGTGTGTGTGTGTGTGTTAAATTAATATAAGCTAAGGTGAAAGCAACACCATCATCCCTACCCTATTCTGCGACGATTCCTATCCTAAATTAACTTGCTAATGGTAATCGTTTTCTAAATAAACGTTGTTGTTATAAAAAGCATACCACCCTCACGCGTCTTCCGTCGGGCATAATTCATAAATGGTCGATCCTACCAAAATTTTCATTTCAGTAAAAGTGGTATAAAATATGCTCTAGAATCGAATTGTACAATAAAAATATGGGATTTTTATTTAAATAACAAAGTTAGTGTCATTTTAGATAAGAAAGTTATGTTAAATCTGTTACCACCACGCGATCCTAGCCAAAATTAACTAATATATATACGGGGTGCCCCAGTTCCTTCTGACAAAACTCAGGGAATCGATTCTTTT